ACACGAGAAATCAATACACATCATCTTCGACATCGTACCCGAGAACAATGAAGCCGCCAATCATTGTCGCCTTGACAGCATCGGCCATCGGCACGGTCAACGCTGCTGTCGTCGCCAGGGGCACCTCGAGCGATCAGCTTTGCGCGGGAAAGGGGTTCCTAGAGAACGGAAACTGGTACTGCCAACCAGTGCATCACATCACTTATCAGAATGTTGGCGTCAAAGGGGAATACCAGGATGTTGTCGGCATGAACCAGCAAACAGGGGCTTGCGAATTCAAGACGAGGGAGTTCTCTGGGCCGCTGGCGCCGTTTAACGAGCCGGTGAGTTCGGCAGAATCATCGCGATCTAGAGGTGATGTGTTGCTGACATGAAGCAGATGTACATCCACTTCAGGGGTCCGATGAGGTTGAAGCAGGTGGCCGTGTATCTACCAGGTAGCGATCAGCGAAAACGAGAGGAGGGCTCCTCGACGAGCGAATCCAGGGAGAAGCTTTCGCAAGAGGAAGAAGCCAACGATCAAAAACACACTTACAGCCATCACCATCGCCATCGCCATCTCCACCGGCAGTTTCGCCATCGCCACCACCCCGAAGAACAAGTCACAAAACTCGCCAAGCGGGTCTGCGAGCCCATCACCTGGGTCACTGCAACTATTAGCGGCTCAGTCGTCTCCTGGATCAACGACTACTGCCCCGACCAAACCGCCGCTCCCGCTCCGGCAACCTCAGCCAACTGGTCCCCCGAGCCCGCTCCAACCACCACAACTCCAGCAACCCCCACAACCACCATCCGCAACTCCCTACCCCCTTTCATGTTCCCCTCCGCAACCAACCGCAACGCCATCTCCTCCCCCTCCTCCCCCCCCTCCCCCCTGGGGAGCTTCACCCGCATCGCCCACTACCACGCCGCCCGCCAAATCTCCTCCGGCCTCACCTTCCTCGCCAACCGCGGCAACCCACACATATCAGGAACCTGGACCCCCCAATTCGGCAACACCCTCTCCTACGTCAACTCCGCCGGAACCGACTGCGCCCCCTCCCCCCAAACCCTCGCCGACACCCTCCTCCCCTCCGAGCACGAAGTCCTCCTCGCCACCGACCAACCCTGCGACGCCTCCTCGTGCGGCTACATCCAACCCGGCTCCGTCGCCTACAAGGGCTTCCCCTCCATCTCGGGTACCCGCCTCGTCCTCATCGACTTTAGCATGCCCCACGCCGAAGGCCAAAACATGCCCGCCATCTGGATGCTCAACTCGCGGGTCCCGCTTACGGGGCAATACTGCCCGTGCTCGTGCTGGAGCAGCGGGTGTGGCGAGTTTGATGTGTTTGAGACGCTGGCGGGGGGGTCGAACAAGGCGAAGAGTGCGTTTCATGGCGTGTTTAGGGGCGGGGACTCGAACTACTTTGAGAGGCCTGTGGGGGGGACGGTGAGGGTGGCGGTGGGGTTTGATGGCGAGGGGGGGAGGGTGGGTGTTAAAGTGCTGGGGGATGTGGGGGAGGGGGAGGAGATGAGGGAGAGTTTGGAGGAGGGGGAGTGGAGGGGGTTGATGGGTGGGGATGAGGGGGACTTTGAGGGAGAGGGGATGGGGAGTGTTTTTAGGGTTGGGACTTGATTTGGGAGTGGAGGGGGCAGTATACGGGAGGGCCAGTATGGATGGGACTTCAAGGCAAAAGGGAAATTCACGAGGGGAAGGTTGCATATATTGTGGGTTTTGGTCAGGGTGTGTTGTTTGTTTTCGGTTTTTTGATTGGATTTATTTTCTTGGTGTGTTTCGTGGGAATGAAGCCCCATTTATGGTTGTTTAGATGAAAAGGGGCGAAATTCTAGACGTTGGTGTTGGAGAAGGAAAGTACTTGGGCTGTTTTGTTGTGACTCCACTCTCTTCATCCATCTTTTCCTGCTCCTTCCTCCGTTGAATGGCAGGCTGCGTGGTTAAATAGAACCTACCTCTTTTGAATTCTCGGCCATCTATCCGGGTAGAGATAGTCAGCAATCGTGTCCAGAATGCTTTCTCCCGACGCGTTCCTACTTTGAGGTTCCAAGACGGAGGTTCTTCATACCCTTCTTGATGAATCCAACATGAGGCTCATCTTGTTGCCTGCTCTCGCTTCGGTCGGCCTCTGCTCGTTCCTCCCGAGTCGGCTGCGGTTGTTCGACAGCAGGCCGAGTTGCTGCAGGCGAAGACACAACAGCACTGGCAGGCGGAGACGGATGCGCTTCATGGCCTGCGCTCGAGGCCGAGCCTACGCCCTGGTTCAACCACTGGTTGCACCAGTCATTGCGATTCACCGTCTCGTTGCCGGCGGGCGGCGGGCTTTGGCGGGAGACCTTGGGTGTAGTAGCTGCTACCTTGCGGGTAGCTGGCCTAGCCTTCATGTTACCCTCCAGTCTGCGTCGTCGACACCTCTTTGCGTCAGCCTTCCTCGAGCTCTGGCTAGCCTTGGTGGAAGGCCTCTTCTCGACCTCGCGAGTCCACAGCGTCTTGGGATTTACCAGCACTTCGGGCAGCTCGACGGGGAACTGAATTTGCATCGGGTACCAATGGGTCATTGGCGCCCTTCGGAGACGCTTCTCGTACCACAGCGCGATACTCGGCAGGCCGATATCGCCCAGGAAGGAGATGATGTCGTACTGATTTCCCGTCCCGTTCAGAGCTGCCTCCTCGGCCCTTGCAAGCCGGTTGAGGACGCGGTGGAAGGTTTGAATTTCGGCTGTCCGAGCGAAGTGGACGAGATTGCAACCCACGGCTGCCCAGTTGGTCGCAGCTTCGGGGTTCATGCTGCCGGCCGCCTCGCGAAACTCGATGGTGCCTTTGTCAAATGTTGTCGAGTTTAGGCACGAGTTTCCAGCTCCGTACTGCGCAAAGTTGTAGTTCATCCGGCTGACAGAGTCTTGCACGCTTAGCATGTCGGCAATTTGCATCTTCGACGTGGCCGCGAGGAGCATGTCAGCACCAGGAAAAACTCGATCAAGGACGACTTTTCGCGGCCTCGGCTGGTCCTCAAGCACCTTCGACCGCTCTTCAGCATCGGCGGGGAGAGTCTTTGGACGGGTGGCTGGAAAGCGCTCGGAGGATATCCGCTGCATCGGCTTGGTTGGCTCCTTGTCGAGTTCTGTCTCCGGGCCGGGCGTGGAAAACTTGTTGGCTGGCTTGCCACACCTCCCTTCGGCCAGTTTGGACTCCAGCCGAATCGAAGGGGACCATTGGTTCCGCTGCCGCTCCGGAGGATGGAGCGTAGCGAGAAAGGGGTCGGCTGCCCATACGAGAGCCGAAATCCTCCTCAAGTCCTGCAGCGAAAACGTCCGCGCCTTGAAGACGGGCTGCTTAAGCGCGCTGTCCACGAGGTACGTCCCCTCATTATTGCGCATCATTTTGGTGCCGGCTCCAACATGACAGTGCATTCCGCACGTCAAGTTGGTGCGCACTCGAAACTTCTCGTTGATCGCTGCCATCACTTCGCGGATGTGATCAAACGAAGCCTGCGAGTGTCTCAGTACAGGAGTCTTGATCTCAAGCCCAATGTAATGGTATTGAGGGAACATTCTCTCAGCATCATAGCCAGTAGCCACAAGCTCTCTGACTGAGCAATCCTCGTCAATGTCCCAGCCCGTGTGAGGGAAAAGATACATTTCGGGGAACCGCTTGGGTGTGTTGTGTGATGCGATCTCGTTTAGGAGACCAAAGCCTCGTCCTTGAAAGAACTCCCTCATCTCCAAGTTTGGAAATTTATTTGGGTCTTCACGGTAACAGTCAGTTTGCTTTCGGACTAGAGCCTCAGGCTGGGTGGCCTCGTACTCGGGTGTGAACACCGGGATCTCGGGCACCGCGTTGAGGTGGTACTCTTCCTCCTTGAAGCTCATGATGAACTCAAGCTCGACGGCGAAGGACAGACAGTTTCCCGTCTCCATCGCGTCTTGTTCCGGGATCCACTGAGCCATATTCGAACTCGGGACATCAGACTCACGGCTCGAGTGCCACGATATTTTTGTAATGTGTGATAAAGTTTGCTGGGAAGCAGTAGTGTGGCAGTAGTGTGTGTTTGTTGCGAGATGCAGGGTAAGCAAGGTTCTGGGTCGTAGCTAGCACGGAGCTTGATGCAGAATATTGTATTTGTCTCTAGCTGAGAGACGATCGCGGTTTATACATGTTAACCTTGCGGGGCAGCTCTTTCCCTCCTCAATAAGCTGCAATGATCAACAAGTGTTGTCCACGTTGAACAACTGTAAATCACTCAGTATCAATAAGTCTGCCATCTCAACCAAGATGGTGTTATGTGTTGCGTACAAGGAAGTTGTTGTCCTCGGAGTCCGGGTCGTCGACGGGACAAAGGATAAGACTCAATACTATTGTCAAGTCTTTGTCTTTGCCAGAAACTCGAATAACTCTTTAGCCCGCACATCATCTTTGTGCGGGACAAGGATAAGTTGAGGTGGGCATCAGGGTACCTAGCTAGGTACTGATGTAGGCTCTTTTGTTTTCGACCCCAGATATCAAACTTCTGCTGAGGGCGAATGTAGCAAATGATTCTAACTGAGATACAATCCCTTGAACGCGATGTTATGTGGTGCCAACTCACCCTGTCCCAGCCACTCCTCAGGGTGTGTAGGTAACCGTAAGCTATCGCTCCATTCAAACTAAGCCTTCGCAGATGTTTCGTACGGCCAGGTAACATTGAGGCAAACGTAATCTTGGCATGCCCGGGTTTGATAGCAACATGTGCATTGCATTGTCAAGGTTTATTGTTTCTTCCATTCTTGCCTCTGCCTCAAAGGCCGTGCGTGGTGTCTTCCCATGCCGACCTGGTAGTCTTCCGTTACCCAAGCCTAACGGGTATCATACCTAGTTCAGTCTGTATCATCCCAGCTAAGGATGCTTTTCTCGATTTCAACGACAACTGCAGTACACTTGTTACAGCTACACCCCCTCTTCCCCCTTCGGAAAAAAAAATATCCCCGATCTATCAAAATGTAGCTAGGCCATCATCTGCCGGGAATTGAGCCCGACGTGGGGGTCGAACCCACGACCTTGAGATGATCTCATCATCTGCCTCGTTCCATACTAGTGACACGCTCTACCACTGAGCCAAGCGGGCGGAGATCCTTGGAGTCTTGTGAGAGACCGAGGGGGTTTGGTTGCCCACTGCCAGAATTGAACTGACGACCTTGTCATGTGATGGTGTTGGCGACGAGTAAGAGTCTCACGCTCTACCGATTGAGCTAGCCGGGCGTGCCCTGGCTGTTGATGATGTGGGCGTAGGTATTAGGTTATATATATGATGTGGGTGGCTGTGGAGATGAGTAATGTAGGTTTGGCTTGATGGATTGGCTGTGGAGTTGAGGTTGGTTCGGGTTCAGGGATCCAAGTTGAAAACCGGTGGGTAATAAGAACATTGTTGCCGTGAGGCGAGTCATTTTATCGGCGTAAATATGACCTTTCATGAGAGGTCCAGAAAGGATATTTCCGTCACATCTCCTACCGGCGAAAGAATGGTCTGCTCGCCATCGGAGCCGTCGGCTGGCCCGGGAAAGATTCCAAACCCCTTTTGTTTCCGGCGTGTCGGCGAGAGCACGGTCAGGGGCAGGTTGACAGCATGTTCTTCTGATAAATGCGGACACATTGCCTCGCCGACCGAGGCACGGTGACTGTGGAAGGAACAGAGGCGGAAGCCAAAGAAGCGTTCGCCGCTCCGCAGCTTGTTCATCGGTAGCCTCAATTGGGGGTTTTTGATGCGCACATCGGCGTTGCTCTGCGCCATCTTGGAGAGGTGAACGGAATAGTCCTCGCGCAAGGCGGGATATGTGACGAAGAGGCGCTCGTAGAGGGCCGCGTCGCTATTGGCGGCATGGAGAGACCAGGCAAGCATTGCGACTGCCCACTTTCGTAACCTGAAGGCGTGGTTCGCATCGCACTCTTGGTAAAGGTAGGCGAGGAAGCGCGGAGATACGTCCAGGTCGCAGCGGAGGTAGAGATCCTGAAGCGCATCCATAGCCGCGTCTTGAAGAGCCGGGAGATCGATAACGGCGGCAAAGACGTGGAGTTTTGTGAGATTCCAGCGGAGCGCCTGGAGTTTGGGCAATAGGGCAAATGTCGAGGCGTCCCGAACCACCCGCGGAATAGCTTGATCAACGAGGGCGAGAAACGCCCGCTTTCGGTAAAGCCACAGCACGAAGAGCTCAAACATCTCGGGGGTTTCGGTGGGAAGCCACATCATAGAATCCTCCTCCTGTTCCTGCTTTCCATCGTCCGGGTACAGTGGTGATGACACGGGTGTATCGAGATGTTCGCGAAAGAAAGAGCTCGTGTCGCAGAGAAGCTTTCGGTTGAGGGTAAACTCCTTTTGCTGTGGCCCAACCAAGACTTTGACCTCCTCTGAATCCAAGATGTTGAGCAGCACACTGGAAGCTGTTAGCTATGGTAATGGCGCACAAAGAGACCAGGAAACTCACGACCCGTCCGACTCCTCCCCGATATCCCCCTTCATATCAAGCGATAGGAACGGCATTGCGAAAAAAACGAACGAAAGAGGGCAAACCGGTTGCAAGAAGAAGAGAAGCGAATGAGATCAACTCCAAGAACTACCGGCGTCCCGTTGCAATGGCAATGAAGCAAAAGCCAACCACAGAGACGGGATCAGTCCCATCTATGTAGCTGCTACGCCAAACCCGCAAAAAAAGAAAAGCTCTGCTGTCAGTACCCATGACTCCGTTTCGCGGGCCATCATGTTTGAGCCATCCCGTCTGAGCTTGGGTGACAAGCACTAAAAGCGTAGAGGCTCCCTGCTTGGTGTTTCGTCGTGTGTGAGTGCGGGCCGCCCCTTGCATGAAAACCCCCACCAATCCCTGGCTCGTCGTCTTTTTTAACCTTTGCCCCTGATCGCCGAAACACCCCAAGATCCACAACGCTGACTGCCGAGTTTCCAATCCCCGCCATCCCGGGTTCCAAGGTCGCGTTGCGGCGCGGTCGCGGGAGGCTCGTGGGCGCATTACTGAGTCGTCCTGGTTGGTGCTTCTCGTATTTGGTTCTGGTCTGTGGATTGGCAAGAACCCGGTGCGCATCGTCACGCGCAACCAAACGACCATTTTTCTTGGAGTCCACCGTCTGGGGGCGAAGACCTGGTTTCGACAACGATGCACAAGGTTCTGGATCCGGAGTCGCGATTCTTTGAGCATTGACGGCGATGATGAGGCGCGTGACGGTCAGGTCGCAGTTCGCGACATCTCCGCATCAATGCTGCCACGCAAATCCATCGCCACTTCACCGCCACCACGGCGTTGTACCCGTAGCCGTCGCGTTGGGAACATTGACGGCGCCCGCTGTTTCGTACCAGAAAGATTGTGGAGAGACACCATCCTGAATTACCGTGGAAGAGGAGCTTGTTGTGAGGGCGATGCTACCATCGGCGATAAGGTCACTGATATGGCCCAGGTTCGAGAGTGATGAAGAAGTCGGATGGTACACCTTCCGTCCAGCTACAACATGCCCCAAAACCATCGGCCTAAACAATTGATTGATGGCAAAAACATTTCCCCATAATCTGCCACCCTTTGCCAAGAATTCATCTGAACAACGGACATTTCATTTTTATGCGTTTCGGAGATCAAACACTCGACCCACACCTTTCACCGGTGACTTGTAGCCCGTGCATCAGTGATTCCACGACGTCGATAGGCTCAACCAGCGAGACTCGAAAGAGCTCCATTTCAACACCTTCGTATACCGATTCCAGGCCCGGGAAGCGGTGGCGATGGAGGCAGGACAGAGGCTTGAGACAACGAAGAAAAGACGGCGCGCTGGTACTGTAATGATCACGATGGGTCTTCGTATTCCTTCCAGCTGCCATATTTGCTTGAAGTCGAGCCAGCAAGATGAAGCTCCTAGCGGCAGCCATAACCATCTTCTCCCTCCTCACCCAGGCCCTCGCCGACAATACCGTCTTCGGTACCTCCTTTGACCAGGATTGCAACCAGTGCCTCGATGCCGCACCTTCTGAGCTCGACCTGGAGTAGACAGTAGCATGTGGGCGTCGGGAACTAGGTTCTAGGTAATACAGGACTGAATTCGTACATTGAACCACGACCCTCAGAGGTCTCATCCGCCCTCCGGTTGCGTCACCTTGCGCGCCAACTCGCTCTCCACCATGGATCGGACGAGCTGTATCACAAGCTCCCTACCCAGCGTGAAGTTCTTCTCCGAGTTCTCAGACGGCACATGGAAGAACACCACCTTCCTTGGCTTCCCTGCCCGGTACAAGTGCGACAAGCTCGAAAAGTAAATAAAGTCGCACAAGTATCGTCCCGCATCCTCGGAAATCCTCAGATCACTTCCGGGCTACAATCACCTCCATCAGCGCAAATTCACCACCTAGCTCGCAGGGAACAAAACATACCGGGCTATACCTCCGCCACCTCTCCAACACATCCTCCATATCCAGGTCGGACAACAGCTCCGCCGGCATCCCATCCCACACCCAATCCTTGCCCTGCCTCACCCGCCGTTCATCATCCCCCAGCAACTCCCCATCCACGTCCCGCATGTTATACCCATCCCGATGCCCCCGCCTTTCAATCGAGTAAAACAGCCTCGGCCCCGCCATGCCAATGTGAATCGCCAGGTCGATCTTCTTCGGCTTCGGCTGGCTGCCATCCTCACTGTCATTGCCGCCGTCTAGATGCCATAGCTTCGGCACCAAGCTCCGTACGGTTTGGTAGTTCACACAGATCGGCTCGGGGTGGACCAGCAGCCGGACCGGCGGCAGAAGCGGGGTCCCCTCGGACGGGGGAACCGTCTTGGCGCGCAGAGGGGGGAGGTATTCGGGGAGGGAGCGGGCGATTTCCCATGAGGGGTTCACGGGGTATTCCTTTTTAAAGGGCTTGTGGTGGGTGTTGTTGTTAGTAGGAGGGTTAGAGCTACGGTGAGTGGGCAACGGGGCCGGTGCGTATCTGGTGGATGAGAACGGCGCGGGGCGCGCGGGGCAGAGATGGAAATGTGGGGACGACCTACGGCGAAGCCAGTGATCAGCACCGTGAGTTCCTCCTGCGAGGAATCGGCCCAGGTTGAGCCCATGGTTCTAGTTTCTGTTGCGGAAAGAGGAGAGGATGGGCCACGCACTGCGAGAGGAAGAAGATGTTACGATTTGAAGGAGAGTGCTTTGTTTGCTCTCTTGTCCAATGGCATCACGGTTACCGCATCGTTACTCCGTAACGCAGGGTAGCTCAGCTGTTGGCGGGAATGCGGGGGAATGTGCCCCAAGCTCCTTTCCCGAGGGCGCACGCGGGCCAGCCACTTCTGGTGGGGCGTTTGCTCCAATCAACGCCTCGTCCGATTCCAACGCAAACTCAACCGCAGCTGTCTTGTTGTTCACGGACACGAAGTAGCGGTATCTTTTTGCGGGCTCCGACTCCGTCACTCAACCTGGCTGACCTCCAGTTTGTATTCTTCATTGTTTTGAAGGCCAAGCTGCTGCGCAGGATTGGGGCTGGCCGGCTGGTACTGGCCGCTCTCCGTCGCGGAAAGAGACGAGAGAGAAATCGAGAAAACGTGATCAACAAATGGGCGGCATCTTCTTCTTATCTTCCTCAACAAGGCAGCTGAGTGGCGGTCTAAGAGGCCCCTCTTCAGCTCCACGAAAAAAGCTTGGTCATGAACAGAGCATGTCTTGGCAGTTGACAATGGATTCTTCAGATCGCGACCACAATCCACTTCGCAGCTCCACAGAACCTAGGCCGGGCATCGACAACAAGAGACGGTCTCGTTCTGCATGGTATTGCTAACGCTTGCAGCTCAATAGTGTGCGCCAAGCAGCTCCGCATTCGCCGCCGAGCGGTCTCTGCTTTGTCGAGATCGCCTCATCATCAATTCTCATTGCTGTCTACGGCCTACCAAGCAGTCTCCGACATGTCGCCGACGAGATTGCACATCAAACAAGCAATTCGATGACAATCTCTCTAATCTCCTTTCCCCAGATAATCCAAGATTGAAAACGCACTGGCGGTATCCGGGGAGTCTGGGGAACTGCAACGAGGTCATGGCCGTCTCCACGAGTGTGGATGTCAGGATCATATGTCAAAGGATTTCTCCAGGTTTACCCCTCTC